CAAATTCGCAAATGTACTATTCCAGTGCCCATTTGTCAGCGGCCTGGGAAGCTGCGGGGCAAGGGATTTTGCGGTCACCTCTGGAGGTGACCGCTAATTCCCTTTTTTTTTGCATTTTCTTCAAAAATTGACAAAAATTCGTTCACAAAAGTTCTTGCACAATTGGTGGATGGCGCCGTGTGACCAGCCAAGTACCAAATCCCCATTTCTCCAGACGGCCGCGACCTTGTCCCATCTGAAAAGGTACAGCAGTGTGACGTGAACCATGCCCAAAACCTCAGATCGGCCTTTCCCAAATCCGCATATTTTGCGGATTTGGGGTCGCCGTGTGAGTATGCCCTGAGTATGCCCTCAACGAGGGCTGTTCAATAGATCACGGGATATGCCCTGCCTCGCTGGCAGGGGAATCTAAGAAAAATGAAAAAAAAACAAAAGCAGAAAAAATAGACATCCAGAATCTACCTGAAATACTGGTAAGAAGCATCCCACCAAGAACAGACGTGACCACGACCCCCACCCAACTTAGAAAGTAGTTCTTCTTTTCTACGTCGCAATTCTCAGTGACCGGCTGTTCATGTGGACGACCCCCCTCAAATGCAGCGCGTTAACGGGACATGCCAGCGGTGCATAGCTGGGCCAAGTACTGGTGGTTAAATATTGTGTGGTCCAAAGGACCACGGATCAGATATCAAACCACCTGTACACCATACATTGGCTTCGGGTGTCAGGCTGACACAGGTAGCACTTGGGAGGCCGCCGTTTTTTTTCCCCCTAAGGCGCCCCACCCCGCCCTGCCCTGAGATCTGGAGTTGGTGGAGACTAAATCTTTCTGCAAGGCTAAGGCCGTGTACTGGTGGTTTAAACCACCACTACCTCGTCCTGCTATGTTTCTTTTGGATGCGCCCATTCATGCGCCGCGTCCTTCGGGTGTCAGCCCAGGTTCGGGAAACTTTTGGTTTAGAGTCCGAAAGGGCCCAAAGAATTCGTCTTTGTATTATGCGGGTTCACTATTCATAAAACAATTGTAACAGAAGTGCAGAGCACGTCGACGAGAAAGGGAAGAAAATATACGAAAACCTATGCTATTTTCCGGGGGCGCCCGGGCACCCAACTTGTGCCCGGATACACGCCCGGGTGCCCGGCCGGGCATGACCCACGGGCAGGGTTCCGGGCAGCCCCAGCGCCAAAGAAAAATTAAAAAAATCGAAAAATTCCGAAAAAAAAAATGTTGTGTACAATTGCAAGACAAACAAGTTTTGGCGGAGGGTCACATCAGAATTCCTCACAGAATCGAACACAAAAAATTAAATAACAGAATCACACTAAGGCACCCCTGCAATGGCTTGCTGATTTCTACTGTCGAGATCTGACTGCGAGGTTGTACAGTCGCGTTTTAGGGTCAGATTCGTAATTTTATTTGTGTCAGGGACTTAAGCCAGTTTAGTCTTCAGAGGAATTCGTGAGGGACACATCTGCAATTTCTGGAAAAATTGCAGACCCGAGTTCCCCTTAGCCGTTATCACCCTTAGCAGACCCGGGCTATCACTGGGACAGCCGGCCCATCTGGGCCCTGGGCTGTAGAGACGGAATAGGCACCGTATAGCCGGGTAGGGCCCAGGCCGAACAGGCCAAACTGACGCGGTACCGGTCCCGTAGGTCTAGGGCTAGAGTAGGCTAGTCTATTAATAGGACTGAGCCAGTAGGTTAGGGACTTTTGGCATTTCATTTTCGCGATACAGCGTTCTGGAGCCAAGCAAGTTGGGTGGTGGTGATTTTCTACAGGCGGCATCCTGAGACCCTCATCGTGGACGGCAGCCATAGCCAGCCTGCCGACGCTTGCCATAGCTGGGGCACCCTCTGAGCATCTACCCCTGAGGGTATTTGTGATTGGCTGGGCTGTTCGGAGGCTCTTCACTGAGCGTATGTGGGTGGACCATTGTCGCCCTTCACTCCTGAGAGATTGTCAGGGCTTCGTCAGTGGTGTGGCAGCCATAGCTGCCATCTTTTTCGTCAGAGTGACTCATCGACATTGAAGACTTCATCGCGATTCATGTTCTTCATCTGGATGGTCGGCGCTGGCCTCTTGGAGGTGGATTCTGTGTTGCGCTACTAACTGGGCGTGGAATAGAGAGTGGTGTGTGGAGTTCTGAGGGTGGCGAGACACTGGGATAAACTCTGTAACGGTTATTGGTTTGAGTTGGCTCATCATCAGTGTGATTTCGATTGTTATCCTCGCAGGTGTCTTCTTGTGATTGGTTGTTGGGAGTCTGTCAGAGAGTGAGAATCACTGTGTGTCTCTCTCCATCTGTGCATGGTTGAATTCCTCTGCTTATCTTTGTCTGTGTGCAGATTTGGACTTCGTCTCCTCTCCCCTTTGTCTGGGGTGTGTATGGGCGTGTGTCAGACACTCTTTGTGTGAGTGGCGAGAAAATCGTCGGACTACCAAGTTCATAAGAGTTGGTATCAGAGAGGGATTGGAATCGGAACACTAAGGTTTGAGCGCAACTTAGACATCTTCTTCATCTTGCGACCTACTGGCGAGAAGTTTAATGGTGATTCTCCTTCTCCAATACTGGGATAGTAGAGAAGAAGATTTCAAGCGGTGGATTCAGGGGTTCAGTGTTTGCACTGAACAAGCGCACTGAGCCTGTCAGGGCACTTGCCAGGAAGTGGCGAGAACAGGGCCAACTCGCCATAGCCAACCCTAAGGGAAATACAGCAGATTACCTCAGAGTGGTGAATTACCCCTGAGGACTTCAGAGACCTTTGAGCGGCTTCATCCCCAAGCAGCGCTGATGTGGATTGACAGTCTGTGTCAATCCCAGGCGAGATTAACCCCACTTCGGGCTATTTATAGCATCAACGGTTGTCAATGCGAGGCGACGCCCGCTTAGCCCCTACGGGGCCCTATTTGCAGCAAGGTCGGCCGCCCTAAGTGAAGGCAGGCACGACAGGCCCTTCAAGCCTCGTTTTTCAGGGTACCCCGCATTGGGGAAAATTCAGGCAGTTGCGCAGCGCCAGTTGGTTGAATGAACCCAGGCCCTGGGCCGCCTATGTGAATGTACGAAGAACAGGCCCTGGGCTGGATTCAGGTACCAGGCCGAACACAGGCCGAAAGCAGTTGGGCGCATGCAACCACTTCAGGCCCAAGGCCTGCTTTCCTCGTGACTGGGCCTCAGGCTACCGGAGCCTACTGGAAACTTCCTGGACTGGACGCAGGCAGGCCACTTYGATATAGGGAAGGGCCTGCCTCTCATTCAGCATTCGGGTGCTGGCTGCATATTGCGCAGGCGCTGGTGCGCTATCTGCTGGCTGGCTGGCACTCACGCTCTCACGGGCGAGTAGGGAGGGAGCACACAGCCATAGCCAAGCTGCGCTGTTGTATGCTGGGTGAAGCGCAGGGTGGTCCTTGGGTGCTAGTGGCATCTGTGCGGTGTGGATCGGGGTTGTGAGTGTAGCGCAAGACATAYCTGGTGCTGAAGCGGGCGACATTGGTCGCCATATGCTCGTACTTCGGGAACGCTGTTGATGTCATCATTCTGCTTCGTAGTATAGGCTAGATAGGATCTGCCACATGTAGTCTGGGCGCCGAGCGCCAATAGGATATCAACTCTGGTTCTTCGTTGATGATGATGGGACTACTTCAGCATTGTCAATTTTGAACTCTTGGTGTATTCTTATTTGGTGTATCTCGTGATGCAATTCTGTTGTGGTTCGAGGTCAAGGCTATCTGGACTCATATGTATGATGCTGTATGATTTCTGAAGTTCGCTAATGCTCATCTTCCTTGCA